TGGGTCCTGGCCACTTGGGGAGTAAACCAGTGGAGGGGAGGGCAGTGAGCAAGTCTGCGGATGCCTCCCCCAGGGGGCAGCTGTCATATCCCCTGCTCGGCTTCATTTCGTGTGGTAACCAAAAGGCCATTCCAACCACAGAAACAGAAACAGAAATAAAACCAGTGGATGGAAGATCTGTCTCTCCCTCCCTGTTTCAAACAACCAACCAACCAATAAATGAATCTTCAGAAAAAACCAGAGGAGCCAGAGCGTCTGCCCAGATGTCAACCTTGATAAATCGTGGACTTGGTCGTGAGCAGACACGGGTGAATGCCGCCAACAACGCTGGAGATGCTGCCGTCACGGCTGCGGGGCAGCGGGGCCGTTACGACGTCCTGCGGACACCCGCTCAGGGCCGGTCAGCAGCCAGTCGCTGAGGGCCAGAGCCTCCGCAGAAGAGCTGAGAAGACTAAAGGAGACTGTGACCGAGCGGGGGTGGCCTGTGTCCCCAAGTCTTTACTTATGGCTCAGGAAGTTGAAAAGAATGGCAAGTCTGTGAGTTAACTTTGAAAATTTTCAAGTGATCTTTTGCACTGGAGTGCCCTGCTTTCCACGTAACAGGAGTACACACAGGTGCAGCAGCAAGCAGGGAAGGCCCCAGGAGATGGTCAGGGCTCACTGCTGTGAGCGAGACCAGGCATCTTCCACCGGGACGACGCTGCCCACAAAGGGGCCAGAACATCTTGGAGGTTACGGTGATTGGACATCTGAAGCAGGGATGGGGAGGGGGAGGGAGGAGTGCACTGAGCCCAGAACGGCCTCATCTTCTGGCAGCCGTGTTTGCCATCTTCCTCCAGAGACAGCAGGCTCTGAGCCATGGGGCTGTCTGGGGCCCCACGCATGCATGCAGGCCCCACCCACGCATGCAGGCCCCACCCAACCACAGCCCTGGCAGGTGCGCCTCGAGGTGTCGTGTTATGGAGGACACCCCCTGGTGGCTGGAGTGAGGCTGCACAGCAGGTGGATGGCACAGTTGTGCGTGTGCTCAGGAGAGTGTGGAGCTGGGAGTGGAGGCGGGGCCTGACCGGCGGCTGGGCTGTCTCAGGACCCCAGGGTGCAAGGGACGTAAGGCATCAAGGGACAGAGGAGTCACCCCCCCGTGCACACCCCTTGGCAGGATGCCCCAGCTCTCTCTTCCATGGTGCTCAGAACCAGGACGGCTTCCCACACACCTGTGCCTTTGGCATCCGTTTGCACACATGCTTGAATTAGCCTCTAATTTCAGAAATGCAGCGGAACAAAGAGGGCGCACAGGGCGGCAGGGGAGCAAGCCCTGCCCTTAGGGAATTCGGGAGGCAGCTGAGGCCTGTCACTGCCGGGGCCTGCACCACAAAGCCAGGGCTTCCGTGACCCCGGGGGTGGCCCCAGCTCGGCCTTCCCTGGGTCTGGAGCAGAGCTGCCCATATCCAGGGTATGGGGCGGCTGGAGGACTGAGACACGGAGCCCACCCCCGCACCCACTGTGTGTGGGCTGGGGGCCCGTCTGTCCACAGGGACAGAGACGGCCCTGCAGGGAGCATGGAGGAGGCCTCCAGCGAGGGCACGAGTTGACATAAGCCTGAGACAGAGAGGGTTCTGCCCCCAGGAGCTCGCATTCCGGCCGGGGGAGGCAGGCACATGGACTTGGGGCCGTGGGGGTGTGGGGGCGGCTGGGGCAGCTGCCTGTCTCACGGGCTCTAGGGACCAACGCAGGCGGCGGCTACTGAGCTGGGCTGTGGATAAACAAGGGTTTGCCCAGAGAAGGCAGGGAGGGGGCAGGGGGCCGGGGGGTGAGGCGGGCAGGGACTGGGGCAGGTGCCGGCTCTCAGAGGTGGGACTGCTGGGTCAGGTCTTCGATGCTGAGGGGGTTGGACGGGCGGCAGGGTTTGTGTGCGATTGGCCTGGGGGACGGGGTGCTGCTCAGGAGGTCAGGCTAAGGGGGTGTTGTGGATGGGGGACATGATGTGCCTGGGTTCCGAGCACCACGGATGTGACTACCCCTGGCTGATGAGCTGTGCTATCTTGGGCGAGTGACTCTGAACCCTCAGTTTCCAAATCAGTGAAATGGGGGTGAGAGGGTACCTGCTTATCCACCTCTCAATACCCATTCTCCCTTCTTCCTCAGTATCAGAGCACTGGCTGTCGCCTGGCCCGCCCAGTTGCCTGTGCCTGGTCCCCACGGTGTTCCAGTGGGGACCAGCTGGGACCAGGACACTGGGCTTGTCTTCATCCAACCAGGAGTCCCTGGCAGCCGAGGTTCCAGCTCTGCGCCCATAAAGATGGCGGAAGCAGTGGAGCACCTGCCTGGTAGTACAGACTCCTGGGGGCGTAGGGCTCGGGCAGCCCAGGATCTGGGGCAACAGACACCCTAGCCTGAATCCTGGCTCTGCCACCTGCCCCTGCCACGGCCGTGAAAAAGTGACTGTCCACCTCTCCGAGTGGGCGTGGCCACCCTCGCGACCCCGCCCCCAGCCCCGCCTCCCACCTCCAGGTACTTGACGGGGATCTTGTGCTTGGTGGCGTGCGACTGGGCCAGGGGCTTGATCTCCGCCTCGTGGTGCCCCTTCTTCTTGAGGATGGCCCCGAGCGCGGTGAGCACCGTGTTCCCGTGCTTCTTCAGGTCCTCGGACGCCTTCATCTCGTCCTCCGACTTCAGGTGTTTGAACTTGTCGAATTTCTCCAGGGTCTCAGGGTGAGTATGGAAGAGCCTGCGGGCACAGCGGGGCGCCGCCGCGGTGAGACGCGAGCATGCGCAAGGGGGTCCCTCTGCCCCTGCCCGCTCCCAGCCCGGGGACCTTGGGCGATTCACCTCCTCTCAGCCGAGGAGTGGGGGAAAACTCATGCCCCAGGGAAGATTAAATGAGATAGTACTGTGCTACTGTCGGCAGGGTGTCTGGGCTATGGCCACTTTTATTATCCAACACATCACCTTCATTGTCCCTGTGGGCTCACCCCGACTTTCTCAGACAGTAGAGGACTGAGTGGCCTTGTAGGCGGCGGGGGGGCGGGTTCCTGGAGCTGAACGACCCTGACTGGTTGAGCACGCACCATGTGCCAGGCCCCAGGCCAGGCTCTGCACCTGCATTTCCTTGTGTGGAGTCATTTGCATTATGCCCATTTGACAGATGGGGCCATAGAGGTTCGGACATGCCGAGCCACACTAGTCAATATTTCAGGGCCAGTAAGTGGAGGAGCCAGACTGAAACCAGACCTGAGGGACTCAGAAAGTCACCCCAGGGGCTGGCGTTCTAGCCTGGCAGGTGAAGGACCGTTTCTTTGGCTCCCTGCCCAGAGAGAGTCCTGCAGGACTTAAACACTCCTGGCAACGGGAGGCTCCCTCCTGCCTCTCAGAGCAGTTCTGCCGCTCCGGCCTCTCTGGCTGGCTTTGGGCCAAGCTCTGACCGCCTGCCCCTGCCTCTCCCCTTGCTGTACCGAAGCCAAGGGGCCCTGGCCCAGCCCCGCCAGAGACCCCGCGGCCCCTGTATGCTCAGAGCAGCCTGTCCTCTGGGCGGCTCCGTTCCTCAGAAGGTTCCTCTCGTGATTTCAAGGCTCCAGGTCACCCCCATAAGCCCACTGTGGATGCGCCCCAATCTGGAGCCCGAGCCACTGCACCCAGAAGTGGTTGTGGGGGAGCGCCTGGTCCCCACGGTGTCCCTGCGGGGACCAGCTGGGACCAGGACACTGGGCTTGTCTTCATCCAACCCCAGAAGGAGTCCCTGGCATTGAAGGTGACCTCTGTGGCTGTGGTCAGCCAGGCTCCCCAGCTCTGGTCACCCCACTGCTGGGCAGCTAAGATGCGCACTCATTTGTAGAACTGGCGTCTCCCCTTCCTGACTTCAGCTCCTCATTCCAGGCCCTCCAGTGCAGTTAGGGCCTCATGGTGGGGGGAGAGAGAGTTCTAGAATTTTGTAGGGAGAGCAAGCGGACGGTGAGCGCCGGCCTGGTAGACGCCGACACGGAGAACTTTCAAGGCGGCGAGTATTTTAAGTACTTGCGTGTCCTAACTCATGGGGTCCTCGCAACAACCCTGGACACAGGCACCAGGACTGCCCCATTTTATAGAAGAGGAACGGGAAGGCGAGGCCGAGCTCACCCAGGCAGTGGGAGGAGCCGCAGGGCCCAGAGCACGGGTTTTCTGAATGACACAGGCCTGCGTTCTCTCCCCTGCTGAGCCCCCTCCTCACTGCTGCCCTGGGCACCAGGATCTTCCTCCTTCTGCCCTTGGCATAGGAGAGGGGTCGGGGAGGGGTTGGAGTGGGACTCGCACCCAAGTCCGCGTGTCCATGTCAGCCCAGGGGTGATCTTGTGAGCGGGTGGATTCGCAACCGCACCTTACGAGGAAGCCCAGGATCCCAGGGCGGGAGGGACTTTGAGATAAGCAAAGTGAAACCCTCCCCCAGGCACAAGATGGTCTTATTCCAACAAGGAGCACACTTGGTGCTGTTCACACTCGCCGTCTCATCTGGGATCAGAGAGGCGGCCCCTCTGGATGGGAGCCGCTAGTTTGCTGCATCTAACTTGGCTATGCACACAAATGTGTCCTTGGCTAAATACAGGACCCAACAATGCCAGCCCACATCTGGGCAGCACTTAGTGTCCATTAGAGGGCTATGCAAATAGTAACTCGCTTAAAAAGCCTGATGAGGCACATCCCATTTTACAGATGAACAAATGGAGGCACGGAAAGTCTGAGTGACTCGCCAGGGACCGAACCCAGGCAGTGTGGCCTCACTCCGCCACTCCCCATGACGCCTCAGACCCTGCTGTTCTCAGCCAGAGACGCTGATACGCAGACCGGTGCACACACAGAAATGGACACAAGTGTGCACACGGCCACACACACGTGTGTGCACAGGCAGACACGCACACGCAGGCGTGCAGCCGTGGACAGGGAGCAAGGCCTTCCCCCAGCACGTCCCGTCTGCCCACAGCCGTGCCCACAGTCACCACATCACCCTGGGGCCCCGTCCAAAGCCTCGTGCGTCACTGACAGCTTGTCTCTGACACCTGGCTGCCCCGGCTCCTGACTGCTCTTATCTGGCGACAATGATCCTGCGATGGCTGCTGACAGATGTGAGAGCTGGCACCCACACGGCAGGGCCAAGGTCAACACACTGGGAGGAGACCGTCTAGGGACAGAGAAGCTCGGACCCACGGCAGCCAAGGAGCTCAGGCTGTTCCTCACCTGCGAGACAGAGAACTTCAGAAGCTGAGACAGGCCCTGGCTCTGTCTCCAATGTGCTGTGTGATGTTGAGGAAGCCACTCAACCTCTCTGGGTCTTGGTTTCGCCATATCAAAACCAGAGGGACTGTGGGACCCAGACGATGTGTCTCCACCTCACTCTCCAATCTCAGCACCACACAGCCAGACAGGACATGGGGACCCACCAGGTCATCTCAGCACTGCTCACCTGCTGTCCTCCCACGACCCCCAGTCCTGCGCGGGCAGCCCCAGAGCAGGCTGCACCCCTGGGAAATGAGCAATGGAGGCCCCGCCCTGGGGAATGGGGCGGAGGGCAGGGCGTCTGGAGTCTCGGAGGCCCCCCGCATGCTTGTGTTTTCCACTTTACCCCACCCCATCAGCCCACCAGGGAGAAAGAGGCTGATGCCTGCTGTCCTTTGACGCAGGGCGCCGTCCGACCCCCTCCTGGGGTACCGTGCATCTGCTTAGACCCCTGGAACTCCTAGCTCTCCCAGAGCAAAGACCCTGCCCAGTGTGGCCAGGCTGAGGGGCAGTATGGCTCAGTGGTCATGGCAGAGAGGCTGCATTGGAGGGGCTGGGGCTTGGGCTCCAGCCCGACCCAGCAGCTCAGTGACTGGCAGGTTACTCAGCCCGTCTGGTGAAGGTGGGGACGGGGTTACTACAGGCAAAACACAACACAGGGCCCGGCACGCAGTATGAACGGGGGCACACTTGCTGCCTTCCTCCTCCTCATCGCCTCCACCTCTGTTAACACACCGTCTTCAAGACCGCCATCATATCCACCACCATCTTCACCTTCATCACCATCACCATCATCTTCCTCACTAACACCATCTTCATCATCACCACCATCATCATCACTGTCTTCATCACCACCGTCATCACCATCTTCATCACCACCATCGTCGTCATCACCATCGCCATCATCTTCATCATCATCACCGTCTTCATCACCACCATCATCACCATCTTCATCACCATCATCTTCCTCACCATCACCATCGTCACCATCGTCGTCATCACCATCACCATCGTCTTCTTCACCATCACCGTCTTCCTCACCAGCACTGTCAGCAGCAGGAACCCTAAGTTCTGCCCGTACCTGACACTGGCAGCTGAGACTGCCAGGCCCCTGTACTGTGAAAAGCAGGGGCCGCCAGCAGCGGTTTTCACACTTTTCCTGGCCATGAACTCCTTTGTTCCAACAAGAATCCCCAAATAAATACCCTCAAAGAGGTGTGGACGAGACGGGAAAGCAGGGGCCCGGAGCCCACCCAGCAGCCCCCTCCCTCTGTACCCGCACGCCTACAGCGGCATCTCCTGTCGCCCCTCCCACTTCTGCGTTTTAGAATTCTACTCCCACGCCCCTGAGGCTTAGGAGAAATGACCTTGCCAAGGTCACTGTGGAAGCCTGGGGCGGTGCCTAGAGCCCCACCGTGAGCTCCAGAGAGGGGGGCTATGCAAGCTGAGAGGCAGCGCCCCCCTCCACCACGGGGAGGCCCCCAACCCCCCCAGCACTGACCGCACAGGAGCAGCCGCCGTGGCCTCCGTGTGTCCCACAGCCTGAGACACAACGGGCACTGCGCCCTGTGGAGCCTGGCAGAGGCGGGCAGTGCCAGGCATCAGGTGTCATCACTGGCGCCCGGCCCCTGGCAGGCCCTGTGACCCACAGGGGAGGGAGGAAATAGTCCCCCCATGACGCAACCCCCTGAGTCTCCTTCAAGATGTCCAAGTCGCTGCCTCCAGGCTGCCAGCCTGGATCACCTTGGAAAGACCCCCACTCTGCACTCTCTGATCCCCACGACCGTGCTGCCTCCTTCTCCCACGGCAGGAGCCAGAGTGGGGCGGGAGCTCAGAGACCACGGCAGACAGCGGCTTCACTCGGTCAACAGAGAGACAGAGCCCAGAGAGGGGCAGAGACTTGCCTGAGGTCACACAGCAAGTCAGTTCAGGCACTGCCATCAACATGGGGTGGGGGAGACCTTCGTCCAGAGGACGACCATGCGGATGGGGACACAGACACAAGGGAGCGCCCTGACACGCCGCTGGAGTCAACAGCAGACACGCTCTCCTTGCTGCAGCGTTTCCAGCCCAGACCACTGTGGACTTGAACTTCAGATGACAGAACTGTGGGGGAACAAACATCTTCCCCAGGGAGCAGGGAGCTGGAAATAGGCAAAGCCCAAGGGAGCCCGGGGACATCTGAGCGGGGGAGGAAGCTGGGTGCGGCGCCGGCCAAGGAGAGAGCCACGCGTGGACAAAAGGCCAAGGGCAGTCCGCTGGGCGGCGGCCACCTGGGGTGCTGCTTCCTCCTGGGGCAGAGGTGCTGAGTCAAGCTCCCGTGGGGGGTTCTGGCTGAACTAGCCCAGAACACGAGGGAGGGGCAGGACAAACCCAGCCTTTGGGGTTGAAGGCGATGGGAAAGCGAGCGTCTCCATGCCCCCCGCAAGCTGACTCTAGGCACAAAAGCCGGCATTCTGGCTTCTCTGGTGGACGGAGGGCAGGCTACGCCTGGGAGCCGCATCATTTAAGCCCTCAAACCCGCGACGCACCCCACAGCAAAAGTCCCTGTTGGGCTTCTGTCTCCTGTTCTCTCGTTGCCAGGCTTTCCAAGGGCCCTAGTCCGGGCTTCCTCTAGAACAGTCACTAACATTTCTAGAACTTTCCATACCTAGGGGTCTTCAAAAAAGTTCATGGAAAATGCACCTTAGTGGGGGAGGGGGAAACTAGGCATAACTTTCAAAACTTTTTTGCACCAAAATGACGTTGTCTTTTGATTCTCTTTCCCTGTGTACCTTCGGGAGCCCCGCGCCCTGTAGGCCAGGACCTGCGCCAGGCCCCTTGGGTGCTGCGTGTGTTCCCTGCGACGGGAGGATCAGTGTTCTCCTCATTGTGCACAGGAGGCCGCTGAGACTCAGAGAGGCCGAGTCCCTTCCCAGAGCTCACACAGAGCCGAGTCTGCAGCCAGATCTGTCCCACCTGGAAGGCCCTGCCTTAGCCTTGAACTTTGCAGAATTAAAAGGGTTTGTGACTCTGGGGATGTCCTTTCAGGTGCCATTTGTCCTTGTCCTGGAAGGGAAGGGGCTGCCTCACGTCTCACAGGGCCCTGATTGTCTCTGACATCTGAAATCCTACGATTTCCCCCCGGGTGGGCAACCAGGCATCCAGAGGGCCCTGACATCAGCCGGGGGTGGAGCCCTTCCCCTAAGGGCAATCCTGGCGCTAAAAAGCCAGCAGACCCAAGGAGAGGTCGGCTCACGGCTAGCAGCGCAGCCAGCTGGTCCACCCCGGGCTGCTGCCTTGCGGCTGAGCGCCCTTAACCTTCTGGGCGTGGGTGACAGGGACAGCGGGACGGCTTCCTTTTACCTGATGAGGACTTCCTGCCCGTGGCCAGCAAGGTCAGCCTCCACCTTCCCCCAGACATTCAGAACCAACTGCCACTCTGCGTCGCTGAGCCCCATGGCGTTCTGAAGGAGACAAGAAGATCAGGCGTGGGCTGGCTGGGTGCGCTGTCCCGGCAGCTGGCCGTTCAGGCTGCCCGGCCCTGGACGGGTTTTTATACCCTGCTGTGGGTCACCTGATGGCGCGTGCCCGCCCTCCCCCTCCCCCTCCTGGTCCTTCTCTCTCATCCAGCGCTCTAATCTTCCTTTCTCTAGCCCTCACATGGCGGGTGAACTATTTGAGGCGGGTGCCATTGTGGGGCAGCAGGACAACTCGGGCCACAGGGGTAGCAGGGGGAGGGCGGGGGGTGGAAAGAGCAGGTGGAGGTTGAGCCACTGTCTGGGCTCTCGGCGTCCGGAGAAAGGGCACCGCCAAGGCCACGGCCAGAGCTTGAAACCCAATGCCCCTGCTGTCAGCCGCCCCAGGAGGGCCTGTCATGTTTCTAAGCTTGGGCAACAGGCGCCCGGCTGGCCCACGGTCAGCCCCGGCCCGCCCCAGTCTCCTCACTCACCTTCTGCCCCTCACCCAGCCAGAGGGGGCGGGAAGGAGGCCACGTGGCTTTGTTTACAGCTGGGGGAGACCAGGCAAGTCCCGCTCCTCCCCTCCCCCCGGAGCTCCTGGCTTTGTGCCTCTGCTCAGATGGTTCCCTCTGGGGAGGGAGCCACGCTGGACCTGCACCTGCAAGGTGCAATGCCCATGCCCTCCCGCCCTCGACTTCCGAGCCTTCTGTACTGCGGATCCTGTGGCGGCAGATTGCCTGGTTTCTGCACCCGTTCCTCCACCACGACCACAGCCGCCAATCCTCACAGAGACCTTGCTGCCTGCCAGGCCCCGTTCCAAGCCTTGCATCCGGGCTACCTCACTGAACACCCCAGGACCCCTCTGCGGTGCCCAAAGATGCGACCTGTGTATGCATGAGGGGAGGCTGGCTGCCATGGCACTGCTTCTTGGGGACAGAGCTGAGATCTGAACCCAGCAGGCCACGTCTCCAAGTCCATGCTCCTTGCTTTGGCTGTCATGAGAACAGGGACTCTGTTTCACTCACCTGTGCGGCTCCTGTGCCTGCATCAGATCTGAGCTGAACACATGTTTGCTGAGTAGAAACACGGACAGTCTTGGGAGGAGGGCAAGTGGAGGATGAACAGCCTTGTGTGCATCCCTGCATCCATCACTCATCCACCCACCATCCATCATCTACCCATCTCTCCATTTGCAGGCCCACCCATCCATCACCTACCCATCTCTCCATTTGTGGGCCCACCCATCCATCACCTACCCACCTCTCCATTTGCGGGCCCACCCATCCATCACCCACCCACCTCTCCATTTGTGGGCCCACCCACCCATCACCCACCCATCACCCACCCATCTCTCCATTTGCGGGCCCACCCATCCATCACCTACCCATCTCTCCATTTGCGGGCCCACCCATCCACCACCTACCCATCTCTCCATTTGTGGGCCCACCCGTCCATCACCTACCCATCTCTCCATTTGTGGGCCCAACTACCCATCCATCACCTACCTACCTCTCCATTTGCGGGCCCACCCATCCATCACCTACCCATCTCTCCATTTGCGGGCCCACCCGTCCATCACCTACCCATCTCTCCATTTGCGGGCCCACCCGTCCATCACCTACCCATCTCTCCATTTGCGGGCCCACCCATCCATCACCTACCCACCTCTCCATTTGCGGGCCCACCCATCCATCACCTACCCATCTCTCCATTTGTGGGCCCAACCACCCATCCATCCATCCATCCTTCCATCCATCCACTCCTCTTTCCACTCATCCACGTGTTCATCCGTCCATCCGCCCGTTATCCACTCATCTATCCACTATCCATCCATCATGCGTTCAACATCCATGTGCCCACCCATCCATCTATCCATCTGCTCCACCCACCCATCCATCCCCCCAACACAGGCACAGAATACCTACTGTAAGTTGGACACCACACACTGGCAATAACAAAATCAAATCAAATACATCCCTGTGTTCAAGAAGCTCACAGTGCCCTTGGGGAGATGAGAGAGAGGAGAGAAAACACAGTACAGCTTTCTGGAGCCAGGCCAAGTATGGGCACAGCTGCACAGTTTACGAAGCGCCTTCCTGGTGAGCTACCTCTCACCTTCGTGATGCCCGAGAGGAAGCGAGTGGCCGCCCACTCTACAGCCCGGGCAGGTGAGGTTCAGCGGGGGTAGGAAGTGTGAGGCTGTCCTGGTTGTGGCCCAGGTGGGCAGTCATGTTGGGGGAACACACACTCATCGACACACACACGTCTCCCCCAAACCAGCTGATGGGGCCAACAGCCAGCCTATCTGAACAGCCACTGTCTATCAGTTCCACTCATCAGATCTCGTCTTCAAAACGTGAACCAGGCTGTTTGGGAAGGATCGAGTAGGTGGGGAGAAATGCAGCATGGAACAGGGTCAAGTTCACGGCCAGCACTGGTCTCAGCACCCCCTCCACTCTGGCCGTGGCAAAGCCGTGAGCTGCACTGACCCGTGCTCCTTCCTGGAGTCCTATTAATGGAGTCGGCTGATTCTCAGGTCCACGGAGCTGGGGTCACACGCCTGGTGCCCCATCCCTGACGACATTCTCCACGCCCACCCCACCCCACGGGGCCGAGCCAAGACCTCCAAGAGCCCGGCCAGCTCCAGCACTGAGCGATGCAGTGGCTCATACGCCACAGGGACTTGAGAGGCATCATTCATCCTTGTGTTCATTCACCCAACAGCGCCGCACTGAGGGCCCGGTCCACGCCAGCATCCAAGAGAAAGAAAACTCCGACAGGGTCTGGCTGCGCCGCGGTCCCTCGGCAGCCTCCATGCCTCCCTCTGGTCACCTGAACCTGGGGCAGGATGGGCGCAGGAGGAAGAGCGGAGATGGTCAGGAGTCAGCCAGCAGCCATCCTGCACGCCGGGGAAGTGGCAGGGACACACCCCGCACGCCGCTCCCGGAGTCCACGGCCCCAGCTTGCTCTGTGCCCGCAGCGCGGCTCAGCCGTGTGCCGTTGCCAGCCCTCTCCTGACAGTCTCTGGACCACCCTGAGGGCAGGGCTGCCAGGGCGGACTCCTGCCCCAGCCCCGCCAGGCTCTCGAGGTGTCTGGGGATGCCGGAGGATTGACAATCTTATCAGCCCGTTAGCGCTGCCGAAGGGTTTAATAGGAAGCGGTCGCTCTCCTGGCAGGCAGCCCCACCAGCTGCGCAGGGACACCTGGGGCTTTGAAGCCGAGGGGCCTCTTCAGTTTTGCCATTTAAGCTTTGGGCAGGAGGCGACATCTGTTTGTACTTAGGCATCGCCAGAACAGCATGGCTGGCCCCGCGGTTGCCATGGCTACCCGGAGTCACCAGCTCTGTTTGGGGGCTATTATTATCCCTATGACAGCCTTCTCCGTGGCCCGGGCAGGGTAACAGACACACAATAGGAGAGCCAGGCTGCCTGTGCATGCAAAAGCTCCTGCGCCACACACACACACACACACACACACACACGGGTTAGCTTGACAGCCAGTGGGGCCAAACTAGATTCCCCGAGGTCAGGCCTGTCCCCCTCCCCTTTGCCCCTTGCAAGACATGGAATCCTTTGACCCCAAAATCTGGGACTTGTAGAGTCACCCTCAAGTCCCAGTTCGGGAGTCTCGAGAGCCCACGATTAAAATTCTAGAATGGCAATGTCTTGGCCGGCGCCGCGGCTCACTAGGCTAATCCTCCGCCTTGCGGCGCCAGCACACCTGGTTCTAGTCCCGGTCAGGGCGCCGGATTCTGGTCCCAGTTACCCCTCTTCCAGGCCAGCTCTCTGCTGTGGCCAGGGAGTGCAGTGGAGGATGGCCCAGGTGCTTGGGCCCTGCACCCCCTGGGAGACCAGGAGAAGCACCTGGCTCCTGGCTCCTGCCATCGGATCGGCGGGGTGCGCTGGCCGCAGCGCGCCGGCCGCAGCGGCCATTGGAGGGTGAACCAACGGCAAAGGAAGACCTTTCTCTCTGTCTCTCTCTCTCTCACTGTCCACTCTGCCTGTCAAAAAAAAAAAAAAAAAAAAAAAGGAATGGCAATGTCTTTATCGTTGACCGCTCTGGAACGCTGGTTCTAGATCCCAAGCTCATGGAGCTGGAGAAGTCTAGAACCACAGGGCGGGGCTCTAGATCCACTCAGAGAGCTGCGTCGCAGGATTCACGTGCAGCCAAGACAGCAAGCACCGCCTCACTGCCCAGGCTGGAGGGCAGGGGCTCCTCCTCCTCCCCCCGCCCAGCAAAGGGGCGGAGTTAACGTGCCACAAACCTAGGGGGGAAGTCTACACAGCTTTTTTCTTTTTGTCAAAGCACCTATAGCAAGAGAGGAACGGAGTGGGGCCGGACCCTTTAGGCCCTTGTCCAAGCACAACAGAAGTCCGGCTTTGTAACCTGATGAGGGTTTTAGGCTATGAAAAACGATGCCAATTTCACACCACGTTCACCATCTGAGAGTTGGATGGATCCAGCTGGAAGTCCCAAGGTCGGAGACCCGGTTTGGGGTTAAGACGGCCCTTTTAGCGTTTTAGGGGTGATTATACCTAATTTACCCCCAGGAAACCCTTTGTCCTGGAGGAGGGGGAGGAGAAGCAATGGGAAGAACTGGGCTCCATTCCCTGGTAAGCTCCGGTCGGAATACAGACGTGCTCAGCCGTTCTCTTGCACTGCCTGCCCGGCCTGCCAGGTGTATCCTCCATTCAACCAGGAGCCCCGCTCAGCACTGCCGCACTGCTTGGTGTGTGCTCTCTCATTCAACCAGGAGCCCCGCTCGGCACTGCCGCACTGCTTGGTGTGTGCGCTCTCTCATTCAACCAGGAGCCCCGCTCAGCACTGCCGCACTGCTTGGTGTGTGTGCTCTCTCATTCAACCAGGAGCCCCGCTCGGCACTGCCGCACTGCTTGGTGTGTGCGCTCTCTCATTCAACCAGGAGCCCCGCTCAGCACTGCCGCACTGCTTGGTGTGTGTGCTCTCTCATTCAACCAGGAGCCCCGCTCGGCACTGCCGCACTGCTTGGTGTGTGCGCTCTCTCATTCAACCAGGAGCCCCGCTCGGCACTGCCGCACTGCTTGGTGTGTGCGCTCTCATTCAACCAGGAGCCCCGCTCAGCACTGCCGCACTGCTTGGTGTGTGCGCTCTCTCATTCAACCAGGAGCCCCGCTCGGCACTGCGGTACTGCTTGGTGTGTGCTCTCATTCAACCAGAAACCCCGCTCAGCACTGCGGTACTGCTTGGTGTGTGCTCTCATTCAACCAGGAGCCCCGCTCAGCACTGCGGCACTGCTTGGTGTGTGCTCTCATTCAACCAGGAGCCCCGCTCAGCACTGCGGCACTGCTTGGTGTGCGCTCTCATTCAACCAGGAGCCCCGCTCGGCACTGCGGTACTGCTTGGTGTGCGCTCTCATTCAACCAGGAGCCCCGCTCGGCACTGCGGTACTGCTTGGTGTGTGCGCTCTCTCATTCAACCAGGAGCCCCGCTCAGCACTGCCGCACTGCTTGGTGTGTGCTCTCTCATTCAACCAGGAGCCCTGCTCAGCACTGCTGTCTCACGTTGGAACTCCTCTTTGCACGGAGACAAGAACCTATGTCCCCATCCCCGCCGGCACCACCAGGTCACCAACCTGCTGCCCAGGACCTGGGAGTTGGGGTCCCACCTTTGTGCTCTGCCTTCTTGTAAGATTCCCAGGGCAACTCTGGGAGTCGGCCAGGCTCCCCTCTGCCGCTCCGCGAAGGTCCACCAAACCAAATGAACCCGGCTCCTACCAGTTCCTGTGCCCAGCTCCTACCAGTTCCGGTGGGCGGTGCTCCGTAGCCTGCTTCCTGTGCCCACTGGGTTCTGTTGTGCTCCCAGGGCCAGAGGCCCAGCACCAAGGGGCAGAGCCGCTCCCTTCGGAGCAAGTGGCCGGCTGACACCAAGGGAGTTCGCTCTACCCCTGATGCTGTGGCCTCACAGCCCTGGAGACACAGGAGGTGGAAAATCCACCGTCCGATCCCAGACACGAGCCCCCAGGATTCGTGTGCAGAGACAAGACACCAAGGCCTTCAACAGGAAGTCGTGTTTTATTATTTACGCCGGCATAAAGCACAGGTGGAATTCCTTATCCACAAGCCCGCCCCAGCAGAGGGGATTGCCCAAGATACGGTTGTAGTCTCTGTCTCCCTTATATGGTTACCTGCACACATGTGAGGCATGGGTACAACACTGCACATGCGCACGCAGTTCCCGATGGTGTTCTTGCACACATACTGAGCTGTGAGCTGTCCGGCAAGGGTTAACGCCGGTGCTGGGCAGGCAGGGCACTCCCAGGCCAGCAGAGAGGAGGCAGTTCCCCTCCCCTGCCCTTGGGAAGCCGGCTACCACAACTTCAGCCGGGCCAGTGAGAAACAAGTTTAAAAGACACGGGCTTCTACCACGGCTGGAGGTGGATCCACAACCACAGGGCCACAGGACTGGAAGCCCAGAGAGGCCTCCCGCGCTATCTCGTCCGATTTCCCACTAAACGTGGCTCTGCCCACAGAGCTCGCTTGCATACCCACAGGAACGGCGAGCTCACGCCCAGAGCTTTAGGAAGTCCTTTTTAGATCGAGCCCGAATACCTCTCCCCGACACACCCTCCTGTCCTGGCGTCTCGGGACAGACTCTGGCTAGGTGAACGCGTGCATTCAAACACTGCCACGCGCGTGGCTGTGAGAGCAGGCGACTGCCTGCTTCGGACAGACGAGGCGTTTCCCAAGTACGGGACAGACGTGAACAACCCAGGTTCAGAGCTCTGACTTTGATCGAACGCCACTGGCATCCGCTGGCCTCTCTCACTGGAGCCGGGACACCGTGATTCTAACCAGAGTCGCCGCTGACATCCTACAAGCTCCATGGTGAAGTACATTCCTGGCACTGACATCTCATTTTGAGAACGCACAAGAATTTAAATTTCCCACCTGAGCCTCTGCTTCTCCACCTACACACTGCCAGCCGCCCCCCTCCCAGCACCTGTCCGACACAGGGGTCAGGGGCGCCAGAAGGTGAGCTTCGGCCTCCAGCACCGCCCAGCGCTGGCCGCCGGCACCCCCAGGCACAGCGGCGCGGCCCGGGGGTCCCTCAGACCCCTGTCCCCTCCTCCGCCCGCCCTTGGGAGCCCAGGTTGGGCGGCGCCTTCTCCCCGCCCGCGCCCCCTCCCAGCCCGGCCAGCGCGCCCCTGGGCCGCCCCCAGGGAGGGATGAGCTCGCGGGCGCGCTCCAGGACGCCCAGCCCACCCCGCCGAGCCCACCCCGCAGCCCCTCGGCGCCCTGACGTCATACTGACCACGGCGCCCCGGGTCCTCGCGGGCCGGCGGGGGAGGCGGCTTCCTGCGGCGCGCGGACAGGCGCAGGGAACTAAAAATAAAATTGTCCGGGCCAGGCCGCTCCGCCCCCTCGGGCCCGCAGAGGCGCGTCGCGGGAGCCAGGCTGGCGGGGACACCGGCTCCTCGTCCGCGGCCAACAGGTGCGGCCGAGGCCCCCGCCCCCGCCCTCCGGGGCCCCTCCGGGCACGTCCCTCCCCGCCCCCAGCCCACCCCCTGCCCAGCACGGGTGCCCTCTTCGCCCTCGGCTGTCCCGGCCTCGGAGCCCACTCCTGTCCGTGCGCAGCCCGCGGGCGCCGCCGAGGCCAGGACGCGAAAACCGGGCGACTTCACGCGGCACGCACTGCGCCGGCGCGGGCGCTGCTCCTCCCAGCAGCCCTTTCTGCACGGGGCACCCTGGCTTCCGCCCCTACTTTACGCGACGCCGGGGTGGGGGTGGGGGGTAAACGGAGGCACACCGAGGGTGAGGCCCTGGCTCTAAGTCGCACGGCCGGGAAACGCCAGGCGCGAGACCGGAACCCACGCGTCTGGTCCCGCGCGGTGAGGTGCGTGGCTCAAACGGCTGTCATTTCTGGATCCTTCCCGAACACCCTCTCCCCTTCGCGGCAGGACGGGGTCCGTGAGCTCGCGGACCATCCGGGGCTCTGCTGCCACCTAGTGGCCGCCAGGGGCAGCGTCGCACCCAGCGCGCCCGGGGCCGTCACGAAAGTACGTGGGGGCGCAGGACCCGGGGGAAGGGACCGGGGGTCGGCAGCGGGGGTCAGGCTGGGGGTCGGCCGCACGGACACGCCTGGCGGGGCGGGCCGGCCCTGGGCGGGGCCTGGGGAGACCGCGAGGGCGGGTGGAGGCCTCTGGTGGGAGGGCGGCGCAGGAGGGCACCTAGGTGACCGACGCCGGGGGCGTGGGGCTCGCAGCTTCCGACCCGGTCACCCGGACTCGGCTCCTCACCTTCCAGGGCTTTGCAAGTGAATTACCCGGGGAGCAGCGGCGCAGCGGGGTAAGCTGCCATCTGAAGCGCCGGCATCCCATGTGGACGCGGGTTCGAGTCCCGGCTGCTCCACTTCCAGTCCAGCTCCCCGCTGATGGGAAAGCCACGAAAGATGGCCCAAATCCTAGGTCCCCTGCACCCCCGTGGGAGGCCGGGATGAAGCTCCTGGCTCCTGGCTTTGATCTGGCCCAACCCCAGCTGTTGCGACCTTCTGAGGAGTGAACCAGCGGATGAACGATCTCTCCCTCCCTCCATAACTCTGACATTTAAATAAATAAGTATTTTAAAAATTAAAACATGTGACAGAAAGTGACAGCGGGGTTTTGAAGGATCAATAGAAGCTTGACAGGAACAAAGACCATTCCACACACAAGGATCGAAACACCCAAGGATTTGGAAAATGGTGTTAAGACCAGGTTTGGCTGTGGGCAACAGAACACTCAAAGTAACACGGCTTCAACAAGAGAATGCTGATTTTCCCTTCTGTGTACAGTGTCAGGGACCCAGCCTCACCTCCTGATCCAGAATGGCTTCTTGAGCTCCAGCCGTGGTGTCTTCATTCCAAGCCAGCAGGGCGGGAGAAAGGGTGAAGGTCGTGCCCCCTCTTTTGAAGGAACAAGCCACTGCTACCAGACCTGGTGCCGCGGGAAGCACGGGTGTGTTGGAGTCCTGTGGAGGAGGCAGTGAGAGCGATGGAGAGAGCCAGAGACACGGCGCCTGGCCTGCCAGGCGGCTGGAGCTGCGGGCATTCGGGTGTCTCCCGAGGGAGGGCCGTGGTCCACCTTGCTCCCGGAGCAATGCCTCACACCCGCGTGGGAGATCCGGAAGAAGCTCCCGGCTCCTGGCTTCAGCCTGGCCCTGTCCTGGCCTTTGTGGCCATTTGGGGAGTGAACCAGCAGTTGGAAGACCTCTCTCTCTCTCTCTCTCTCTCTCTCTCTCTCTGACTCTGCCTTGCAAATCAAATCAATCTTTATTATTATTATTTGAAAGAGAGAGAGGAGAGAGATGTTTCGTTCGCCATTTCAGTCCCCAAATGCCCACGCAGCCAAGGCCGGGCTGGGCTGAAACCAGGAGCCAGGCCTCCATCGGCGTGTCCGTGCAGCTGTCGGGGCCCAGCACTGAGCCTCCCAGGGGCGCGGCAGCAGGAAGCTGGAATTGGGAGCAGCGCTGGGACTGGGACCCAGGAAGCAGGTGTCGCAAGGCATGTCTACATTGTGCCGAACACCACCTCCTTTCTGGCTGGGTGAAGATGGTATATTACAAGTTGTCATCACCCCAGAAGGTGCCTGCGTCCCGTCCCCCACCCCCATCCTCAGTCCTGTTTTGTAAACCACAGACGAGCTTGGGGAAGGCAGCTCTAAGGGCCGGGGGCGGGGGGCACATGTGAGCAGGGGCGCTGCCCGAGCCCAGGGACAGGCAAGGGGGGGTCAAGGTCTTCAGGGCACCGCAGCGCTGAACTTGACCCAAGAGTGCGGGCAGAGCACGCATGGCATGTGCTTCTGGCTGAGCCGCCGGGCAGGCGGGGGCGCCCTTGACCGAGGCGGGTGCCCCAGAGGCCGGCATGGGTGGGGACACCCGGCTTCTTGCGGGAGTCCGTGCCAGGGCGCCCCCCCCCACCGCCCCTGCTCTCGATCCCCGCGGGTGGCACCGGCGGATGGGCACTTTCCTGGCCGGCAGGCCCCTGCGAGCACCGGGCAAGGGCGGTGGCCTCCTCCGTGGGCCCCAACAGCTGCCCGAGGGGGCGTGGAGCACGCAAGGCACCGGGGAGCGGATCTCGGGTCCCTGTGCGGGCAGGCGCCGCTTGGACAGACTGCACCTCCCTCCCTCGGCAGCCCCTTGCTTCGTAAACCACGCGCACCTGCGTCCCAGCGGGGGAAGGGGCGGGCGCAGAGAGAAAGCGAGACAGCCACCGCGCAGGGCTCCGGGTCTCCGAAGTCGGACGCCAGCGCGCAGGAGCACGTTCTTTATTAAACACCCGCTGGTTCGCGTTCCTGTCCCTCCCGCTGGCCGAACTTGGACTTGTTGCTTGGGAACGAATGGCCTGATGCACTCTGCGGGGGGAGGATTCGCTCCCCTCCCTAACCGGAGCGCGTCACCGAGCGCCGGAGCTCACGCGGCCGCTTGGAGAAGCCTCGTCTCCCTCGTGGGGCCGGTCCCGCCGCCCTGCAGTAGTGGAGTCGCCTTGGAGACCGAGTCGGACCCTGAGAAACTCGCGCCTTCAGCCGCCGCTGTGAGGCTGGCGCCCCATGTCACGGGGTCTGACTGGAGTCCCAGCGGCTCCGCTTCCTATCCAGCTCCCTGCTGATGCACCCGGAAAAGGCAGCAGAAGTCGCCCAAGTGCTTGGGTCCCTGCACCCACGGGGAAGACCTGGGTGCAGTTCCAGGCTCCTGGCTTCCACTTGGCCCGGCCCCGACTTTTGTGGCCGTTTGTCGGAGAAACTCCTGCCTTCCTCCCATTACTCTGTGATTCAAATACATAAATAAATACTTTTTGTTAAATGGGAAGAGAGGCCGGCGCTGTGGCGCAGTAGGTTAGTCCTCTGCCAGAGGCGCCAGCATCCATATGGGCACTGGGTTCGAGACCCGGCTGCTCCTCTTCCGATCCAGCTCTCTGCTATGGCCTGGGAAGGCAGTGAAGGATGCCCCAAGTCCTTGGGCCCCTGCACCCACGTGGGAGACCAGGAAGAAGCTCCTGGCTTTGGATCTGCCCAGCTCTGGCCGTTGTGGCCATTTGGGGAGTGAACCCAAGACCTCTCTCTGTCTCTCTCTCTCTCTCAGTCTGTGACTTTACTTCTTATTTAAATAAATAAAATCTCAAAAGGAAGAAGAGGAGGCGGCGGAGAAGGAGAAGGGGACAGTGGGAGTTCCGTGAGGTTTGTGCAGAGGACAGTGGCAGCCACGGGTCAGGTGCTGGACGGTGATGGGGCTGTGAGGGCTTCTTCCACGCGAGGCTTGGAGGAGGGCAGAGATGGAAGCCCAGCTCCACCCGCGTGTGGTCAGAGCTCTAGGGCTGTAACCGCCGGCCCCGGTCTCAGGGCCTTCACAGCTTTGGTTCCCATTTATCCGGCAGCCCCAGGCACGTCGGGAAGAGGGCTGTGCCCCACCCAGGGATCAGGGACCCAGGCTCCCCGCCCCAGGGAGAGACCCGGTTCCTCTGCATCCATCGGGCAATGGACAGGAGAGAGACGGGGATGGAGGACCGCACGAGTGATGCTCATTGTTTGGGTCCTTGGTCCTTGAGCTTGACCACCGCCACAGGGTGTGGCCACCTGGGGAGAGGGGCGGGAACCAGGTCTGGGGGGTCAGGGGGAAGCGACGGTGTCTGCCGCCGTCCAGGCCAAGGCTGCAAATGTCTCCCAGTCTGGTGGAAGGAGGAGAAAGGCTGGGCGTGAAGCATCCGAGCCACACCCTCCCGGCACGAGAGAGGCTCACAGGCAAAGCCAGGGCCACCGTGCTCCTCCACGCCAGCGTCCTGTCTGTCGCCGCTGACGGAATTCTTGGGAGAAGGGGAGAGGGGCACCCAGCAAGGGGCGGAAGGGATGGCCACTGACCACCATCAAGGTCAAGGTCAAGGTCGGAATACAGTCAGCACAACGCCAGGGACGTGGGAGGGTGCGTCAGGCAACCCGGGGAAGACAGCTTGGCCGGCTCAGAGCTTTTGTGAAGTGGACTGGTCCTGGCTGAGGTTGGAACTCGGGCTTAGAGCAGATCAGGAATGACTTTGAACTTGAAGAATCTTCAGCAGGAGGGGCTGTGGGGTGGGGGAGGCACTCCCTGGGCACCTGATGACTCAGCAGGGTCGGTTAGGATTAGTCACACAAGGCTCAGCAGACAGGCCAGGGAGCCTGCCCTCGCGGCAGCCGGGGGTCTCCCGCCTTTGGTTTGGAGAGTGGGCAGCTCAGGCTGGGCGCCCGCGCCGTCCCAGGACCCCACCTTGGGCTGCTGGGGCAGTGGCCGCTGGGCTCTGAACGCGGCAGCAGCACAGTGTGGGACGATCTGACCCGACTCCAGGCTCGGGTGGCCGGGGTGTCCCCGCCACGCTGGCCGGCTCTCCCTCGGAGATGCCTTCCCTCCGGCAGGACCAACACCGCCCACTGCCGGCTCCCTGGTGTTGCCTCTGCCCAGCGGCACACGGCTCTCGCTACAAACTGGATGAGGACCACCAGTTTGAAAGCTGTCTTCGACATCGCCGCACCACGGCCCCCTCCCGTGGGACCCTCCCACCAGGATGGCTGCGGGAACAGCAGGAGGAGGCCTGGGGGCAGCTCCCACAGACTTTCAGGGAGGGAAGGGAAGACACAGGTCCCGGGAAGCGGGAGGAGAAGAGAGGGAGGCAGAGGCGGCACAGCCAGCTGCCTGCCTTCTTGCACGCATCTCACGGCTGCTGGGGGTGGGTGGGGCTGGAGGGGGCAGTGGAGACATCTGGGTGGGCCTGCCAGGTCCTGAGGACTTGGGGGCTCCTGAGCAGCACCCCCTGTGTGCACCGAGCGAACCTCCCTCGGGCTGCATCAGTCCACTTAAACCCTTGCAACAACCTGGGGGGGTGGGGAGGGGCTCCTGTGACCCATTTCACAGTAGAGGACATCGAGGCCCACCAAGCAGCACTGAGGGGGCTATAAACCAAGGAGAGACCCCTCCCTGGGCCCACCCCCACCCCCATGCAAATACCCAGGCAACATGGCGGGTGAGCATTGAGTATGACCGTTCAGGTCTGTAACAGGCAAGACAGCAGTAGGTTAAATGGTACATAGATGCACTTCTCTCGCAGGGGCAGGCCCTGCCTCCAGCCTCCTGGCTCTCGTGTGTGGCCCAGGGCTCGTCCTCTCTCCTTGCTCAGCTCTGACCGTGCATCCACACTCCAGCCCCCAGAAAGGAGGGCAGGGAAAGGGCGGGCATACACTCTGCTCCTGTCCCATTGGCCAGAACTTCGTCACGTGGTCAAGCCAGCTGCAAGGGAGTCTGGGAAGGACTCTTTAGCGCTGTGGCCATGGCATGGCTAAAACTTGGGGTTCAATCATTAAGGGAAGAAGGGGCGAGGCGAGACGGGGGTGTCTAGGTAAGGGAGCCGGAGACTTCGTGCTTGGTTCCCCACGGGCTGCTTGTGTCATGCAGGGTTCAGAAACTCCTGGGGACCACACGGGGGGGGGAGGTGGAGGTGGTCCCCAAAGGCCTGGCCATTGAGAGAAGGAGCTCAGAGCACAGAACTTAGCACCCAGAGGCAAAAGGCCGGGACCATGACCTTGAGCAGCACAGCGTTACGGATGGCCTGGTGATCCAGACGTTCCAGCGACACCAC